CGAGACCTAGATCTGGTGTGCCCTGGGACCCAGCGTCAAGTCCTGCCGGCACCACGGGACCCATCAATGCACCTCCTTGTGACTGGTCTTTGGTCGTTACGGTGTTACGACCACTGGGTTTTTATTATATAGATAAGCGAAGAAGACACTTGGAAAAAAAATGGCACATGCATTTTCTGGAATGGACTTTTGGTAGGTACTAGGGAGGCAAAATCCTTGACAATCTGGTTATAGAGCACAAAAACAATAGTTTCAGGCTGTTATATTAGGTTTTTTTGCCACTAGTTCTCTAAATGTGTAGAAGTCTAGTTTGATTACAAAGGAGAACATCCACAGATAATGATTATAATATATTTCATAACAATAATATCCATAGGCATTTCTATCACATAGAAAATATTCAATAAGTGCAGGATTTATAGAGCACAAAAACAATACTTTCAGGCTGTTATTTTAGGTTTTTAGCCACTAGTTCTCTAACTGTGTTGAAGTCAAGTTTGATTACAAAGGAGAACATCCACATATAATGATTATAATATATTTCATAATAATAATATCCATAGGCATGTCTATCACATAGAAAATATTCAATAAGTGCAGGCTAATCGTCCCATCATAAATATAGAATGATTATATTGCTACAGCTGTGGTTGTGTTTGGTGTTGACATCATATTTTTTGTTATCTCTGTAATCCTGCTACACTGAAGGTCTCCCAAAGCAGAGTCAGGTCTCCTTCCTGTCTCCAGTGCCTAATAGCAGGCCCAGTGCCATTGGTGTTGAATAAATGTGCCAACGAATAGAATATCAGACTCATGGTAATGATAAATTATATTTTTTCTATTGAGTACATGCTAAGACCTTATTTGCTAATAACTATCTCATATTCGTGCATCACCTTCCCCCTTTAAAATTTCTCCCCTCATTTTTCTGAGGTGACGGAAATGGTCCAAGCCATTGCCATTTCTCACTTGAACTTTGGCAATAACCTCTAACTGGTCTCCCTGCCTTTACCCTTATCCCCATGCAGCCAGATTGATCACATCACTCCTCTGCTCAAAACTCCCAAATGGCTTTATATCACACAGAACAAAACCCACAGATCTAGTCACCTAGAAGGTTCTACACAGTCTGTACTCTGTAGAGCCCCAAACTTACCCCAGCCCCTTTCACATACTCACTGCAACCACACTGGCTTCCTTGCCATTCAGCAAGTATATCAGGCACTCCCTGTCTGGCCGTAGGATCTTCACATGTGTCCCTTCCTCCAGGAAGGCTCTCTGGCCTGATGTCCAAATGACTGGCTTCCTCACCCCTAGTTTCTGCTTCCTGTTACCTTCTCAGTGAGGCTTTCCCTAATCAATTTAAAACTACAACCCACCCCTCTTCTCCACATTAATACATGCCCTACCCTTGTCCCTGAGCTTTATTTTCTCTATAATATTTATCACCAACTAATATGCCCTAGACATTTTTGTTAATTATTCCTCTTTCTCTACTAGAAAGTCAGTCCTGTGAGGGTATGGAATTTTGACTGGTTATATTTTTTTTCCTGCTGTATTCCCAGGCCCTAGACTAGTGCTAATAGCTA